TGAGCAACAAAGTCCCCGAGAACAGAAGGGTTCTGATTTGGAATCACAGGAAATTCTGTTGCAGGAATTAACCATATTAGCTTTTCCATGTTCCTTGATGATCCATTCCCTAGATTCATTAGCTTTAATGGACCCCTCTTACTCGTGCATTGATCACTCTTACTGTATATGGTCCAATTCACAATAATCAGAGCTAATAAAATGATCTGTTTTCTGGACACCAGAAATTGTGGTTTGTTTGTGGAAACAAAGTCAATTTCTGCAACAAATCTGTTGAGAGACAAGTGTTGTGAGTCGGCTCACCTTTGTCTGTAGACTTGACGTTATATTCAAAATATCAACAAAGGAAAGTAAAGGGTCACTTATTGATGCCATCGTGGAAGCAAATACATAGCACCTAATGTAATCAGTTCAGACATTGAAACCGTAGGTGCCAGATAAACGTGACCGAACGAAACCCATTCCAAAAATCTAGGCTTAAATTCATCGAAGTTTCGACTGCTATAATCTGTTTAGTATTTTCATAGATTACGGCATTTGGTTCACTACAGTTGTTGTTCACGTAACTGACAACACCTCCGTCTCGTCTGCAGACATACTTGTGGGACGACAGACTGTCAACCCGATGTAATTTAGACACATTCAGGAGTACCATTTCAGTTGGAATTACTTTGTATAATCACGATTACTTATTCGAAGGTTTTTTACCCCGTACGTCGTGAATTTCAGCGGTTTGTCCCAACAAAGAACGAATAATGCTTGTTCAAAGGAGAGTAATTTGCCTACTGCTAGCAATGCGATTTCTGAAAACGACTGATCTACCTGTACGATGTTTTCTTCGTCGGCCGCCGCGTTCTGTGCTGTGTTGTTTGAAATCATTTCTCACTTGGTTGGGATAATTCACAAAATATGCGGCTGGCGCGATAACAATTAGAGGTTTTATGAGAGCGCCCGTGTAAGATGAGATCGATGATGAATAAATTCATTCGAACGGTGTAATTTTAAGTGAAATAGCACGACTGAATTCAAAGGTCTCGCGTGAGTCAGGATAAATGCTGTACTGTTTTAGTAGGAGATTACCAGTGGACAATATCGAAGACTTCAGTAGACGAATCGAGGGGTTCAAGTACGTGAATGTTAGCTTAGGTTTTTTAAGTGACAACCGTATGCCTTAAGTTACGTAGAATGCCAATAGTGTGCAAATTATTATTTCCTTCTTTATTCGGGTTGATCACTTTGTGATCACTGGTGGGGCAAACGCGGCCTTGAGGGGAAGGGGTGTCAGATTCATGATCAGAAAAATTTTCACTTCGCAATTCGGGCGTTTGCCTAACTGGAATGCGGTTCACAGGCCTTTAAAATTGACGAGCTCACACATTACGGACGTCATCATAGGTAAGTATGCATAACTGCAATATAAATAATAAGTAAAATATGATATTTGTATTTTATTATTCTCTATGATGGTACAGTTGGACACCATTTTTTCGTTACGCTATACAAAAATCCGACTTTTTGCTGTTTCATCTTTCAGATGCTACACATACAAAGAATAGCTTGAGAGTGATTCGCCAGGATGCCGTCAAAATAATCCGATGATTTTCCAAAAATCTACGATGACGGAAAATCACAAATGGGGTTTTGCATTTAAATGCAATGGAAATATTTTGTGATAAACGACAAAGAGCACTGAATAGTTCTGCGTCCTGTTTGGGGCTCGCCTGCAGTGCGTCCTTGATCCTTTGTTATTTTCTCTTTTACCTGGGCTTACAGTTGCATATGAAAACTTTTACAACTATTATTTTTAAGAAAGGCGCTTAATGGGTAGAAATAAATGGGAGGGGGCCGGGGTGTGGTGTTATGCACGTTAGTTTGGGATTAGAGTATTTTTCCTTTTAATGGTAATATCTGGTCATTAAGGGTTTAATAAATTGCGGGTTCATGAGGTCGCTCGTTCAGTCGGAGTAAAATCGTGTGCTTTTTTCGAAATCTGGGAGCACGTTTGATTGCAGGGGTTCTGCCGCGCTTAAAATGTGNCATGAACAATCGAATATTATTTCATCTTGTTCTAAATCTGTGTAATTTGTATTGGGAAAAACATTCCAGTCAAAATTTTACCTCAAACAACAAGGTGTGTGGTCTGCAAGTCGTAGCAAACTTTCCAGTCTCGCACAGTAATCGAGTGAAATTCCGTATTATCTTGTCAACTGTATGGATCACCGTTGCATGGTGACATGGACTACAGCAATCGAACAACTAGACTCGCGAAACAGAAAAGCAGGCTTTTCAAACTTAACTTCCGCTTTGCTCAGTCTGAGACACACGAGAGGTAAGCGCATTAATAATGTTTTACCCTTAGAATAAGCTAAAAATTGAGATTTATTTGGCTTTTATGCTCATATGCATATCCGCTCTAATGAACACAAACATTTGCAACCAGGGACAGGAAATTTTATATGCACTGAAATATTAAAGATAAAAGGAGAGTAAATGTC